CCTTCATTCCTCAATGGCACCAGGCCACGTTTCCTACCATGAGGCCTTTGTACCTGCCTTTGCTGGGCCCGGAGGCTCTGCTCCTACTTTGCTCCCAGAAGGTGCACACTTGTCCTGGCTAACTTCTATCTACCTGTCCCTCTCAGCTTGGAGGGTAATGTTGTTTGGATGTTTGTTCCCTCCTAATCTCATATTAAAGCATGATCTCCAATGTTGGAGGTGTCGCCTAGCAGGAGGTGTTTGGATCATGTTAGGGGATCCCTCATGAATGGCTTGATGCCCTCCTTATGGTAATGAGTGAGTCTCACTCTGTTAGTTCACACAGGAGCTGGTGGTTTAAAAGAACCTGGCATCTCTCTTGCTACCTCTCTCACCATGTGACACGCCTGCTTCTCCTTTACCTTCTTCCATGATTGGAAACTTTCTGAGGCCTCACCAGAAGTAGATCATGGTGCCATGCTTCTTGTACAGGCTGCAGAACTATAAGTCAGATAAACCTCTTTTCGTTATAAATTACCCAGCTTCAGGTATTCCTTTATAGCAACACAAAATGGACTCATACAGAGGGTCTTTCCTGACAATCTTCTGTATATCCGTTGCACCCCCTTGCATGGCTTCCTGTAATTTTCCTTCACAGCAGTTAACACAAATGTAATTATTGGTTATTTTAATAACCATTTTCTAATTTCTGTTTCTCTCACTAGATTATAAGCTTCTTATTGTTATATCCCCAGTGGCTAATGGGATGCCTGGCACAAACCTAACATTCAGTAGACATTTTTTTCATTGATGAATGAATGAGGTATAAATATAAAGCAATGAGACTGATTCCAAATGTTGTAAACGAATGATGTTCGTCTCTCTCTGTTGGGAATGGCATTCTACCCTTATCCCCATTAACCAAAATCTCCTCTTTCTTTGATGCCCCCAGTTCTAATTACCACTTGCTGTGGAAAGTATGTGTACCTCCTGAAGCCCACTCTAATCACTTATTTCTTCAACCCCTGCAGAGCTTTCGTTGACAGAAGAAGAATGAAAGAGGCAAAGAAATTAATGGGAAGCCCTATGATGGCCTTTTCCCAACAACAGGGAGTTATCTTCCTTTCTCTCAATTTCTTTCTACTCTTTCCCTTTGAATATGCAGCTGAATTTCCTCTAATTTGCTTTGATCACTCCCTTAGGAGCTATCATGGAATCAATCAGATCTGTAGAATTTTACAACTCGGGGTCATCCAGTATGATTTCTCATTTTACAGATAAGAAAACTGAGGCCCAGAGAGGTTAATGTTTGAAACAATTACTTCTGCTGGGTCGTATAATACCAATCAGTGTCATTTTCTAAGATACATTTTCTCAATATCCCAGCTCCATGAGAGTAGAAATCCTCATGCTGCTTGTTTTATTCTATTTCTTTTTTTGAGACAAAGTCTTGCTCGGTCACCCAGTCTGGAGTACAGTGGTACGAGCATGGCTTACTGCAGCCTTGACCTCCTGGGCTCAAGCGATCCTCTCACTTCAGCCTCCTGAATAGCTGGTTCTACAAGCACAAGCCACCAATCTTGGTTAATTTTTTCATTTTTATTTTTGTAGAGATGGGGGTCTCTCTGTGTTGCTGGCCTTGAGTCCTGAGCTCAAGTCATCCTCCCACCTCACCCTTCCAAAGTGCTAGAATTGTAGGCATAAGCCACTGTACCTGGCCTCATTTTGCTTATTTATATACCTCCTGGTGGTGACTGTCTCAGTGGTAAGGTGAAGCCCATAGGATGGGCTTCCATCCTACTCCCACAGCAGAGCTCCATTAATCTTGGGTGGGTCAAGAACTCTGGCTGTGACCAGACCCCCACTCTAAATGGGGCCACATGCTTCACATTGACAGAGGGGCCCCATGTGTGTACTGAGACCCAATGGGAATAATGGGTCATGAGACCTGTTGTGTTTCAACAATTGCAGAAGAGTAAAAAAAAAAAAAAAGAAAAGAAAATTCCTTTCCTCAAAAGTCATGTAGGGTCAACTGAGAAAATGTTGTTTTATAACAGCCATGGAAAGAGAGGGAGGTCTAAAAATTTGATCTGAAACATTGTCAGTGACTTCTCCCTGGCTGAAAAAAAATAGACAAGCAGAGCATAACTTTAATAAACACATTTGATAGAACAAAACACAGTGTTCAAGAAGACAGAAAAAGTGGTTCTTTTACATCTAGAGAATCAATAACAAATTAAGCAAAGTCCAAGTGAGCCTTGACAGTGTGAATTTATACTCCATGCAGGCCACAAAAGTGAGATCTCTCTTCCAGGTTGGCCACATGGTGGGACCTGGGCACAGGGAGGTCCATGTGCTGGGCACAAGGCAGGCTGTGAAGGAGCTATGTGGACTGTGGATGCACCACTCCAGGGATGCCCCGCAGCCCCCTCAGGTCTCACTGACTCCTGGGGGAGGTAGGTGCACCAGGGTCAGTGTGCACAGGTTCTTACCTGTTGTGTGGAGGATGTACTAATATGCTATAATATGCTATCTAATTCAGCCAGGGGATTTTCCAGAGCTGGAGTAACTCAGGTAAAGAAGAACAAAAAATCATCCTAGGTAGAAAGCACAGCATAAGAACAGGCTTGGAACTGGGAAACAGAGTTGTGAGTTTGGGGATGTTAGTCCTTGGCATTGCAGAAGGTGGAGTGGAGTGGGGGGAGATGCTGGTGGGTTATGAATGGTGTGATTGGAGGTCAAGTGAAAGGTGGAGTGCTGGGTGATATTTGGCCTGGAGCTGAGACTATCCAGGGTAGCGAATCATGATGGCCTGTGTGTCCCAGAACTGCTGCAAGGATACTGGCAGGAGCTGATCTGTTGGTGAGGGACTGGCAGGACTTCAAGTTGGTGAGGGAACTGGCACTCTAGGAGTCCTGGGCGAGGCTGGGGGCCAGGAGGACCCTGGATTGACTGCAGTTTAGGTGCCTTGGTGGCAGAGGCCTAGACAGTGAGAGTGACCATGAGTGAGGTCACTTTACAGACCTGGGCGTGCAGGGCCAGCTCTGAACGTGCCCATTTCCCCACCTCTCCACACTATGCCTGTTTTTTGGTTTCCTTCACACAAGTTTAGAGGACAGCCTTGCTTCTATCCACCTGCTATCCACAGGGGGCTTTACTCTTTTCAAGGAGCAATTGCAGTATATTTTCCATGCACACATAATTGGCTTTTAGCTCCGTTAATGAAGAATTCTAGTCTATATATTTAAAGTCCACCACTGTAAATAATAAGCAATTAGCACAGTATTCAAAGATACTGGTATGATTTGGTTACCTTGATCACCACTGCTAAATAGTCAAGGATCCTAATTCATTTTCACTTTAGAAAGTTTAATTTCTTTTCTCTATTTTTTTTTTATTCTAGGCAAACAGAATATAAGTTTAAATTTATTCCTGGAAATATTCTCAGTTCTTGAGACCAGGATCTGGAGAGCTACCAGATGTGGGCAGCTTCTTCCTTAACTCCTTTTCTCCAAGCACAAGGAAGAAAGAACGATCCAGCAACTCTTCTTTGACCCCTGCCCTAGAGAGCTCAGTTAAGGGAGCCATGCCTTTAAAGACCCCTCCCGACTCCCATCCAAGCCTCACTGCCTGTTATTGAAGTAATCTTCTAGAAGTTCTTAGGTGATTTTATTTGACCATTCAGAGTATTTTTACTAGCTTCTCTTGTAATTTCTTTTAGCCATATAAGTATGGGTGAGTTGCATGATGTCTTTTCATCTGTAAATTGGGGATAATAATACCTAGTTCTGAAAGTTGTTGGGAATAGTGAAAGACATCACTTAACACATGTGTTGTTCTTCTCTTTTATTCCAATCTACAAGGCTGTTATAAATGGGAGCTCACTTTTCTAATGTGAATCATGATTGTCTTTCCCTTAAGAAAGTTTCATTATTCACTAAAGTAACACCCTCCAACATTTTCCTCCATCATAGCCTTCCTTGAAATTTGCACACAATAGAGCTTCATTTGCTACATTAGGGGTTCTTCTTAGCAGCCTTCACTTTTACCAGTTTTATAGTCTAGGTCTTTGTGTTAGTCCACTCTTGCATTGCTGTAAAGAAACACCTGAGCTGAGTAATTTATAAAGAAAAGAGGTTTAACTTGTTCATAGTTCTGCAGACTGAACACGAAACATAGTGCCAGCATCTAATTCTGCCGAGGGCCTCAGGAGGCTTCCACTCATGGCAGGCCAGGGGAGCCAGCATGTCACATGGTGAGAGATGAAGCAAGAGAGAGAAGGGGGAGCTCCCAGGTTCTTTTAAACAGCCAGATGTCACTCATCACCAAAGGGATGGTGCTAAACCATTCATGAGGGATCTGCCTCCATGATCAAATCACCTCCCACCAGGCCCCACCTCCAACATTGGGAATCACATTTCACATGAGATTTGGAGGGGAGAAACATCCAAACCATATCAGTCTTTCAGAGATAGATGTTATTGAAAAAAGTTTATGAGAATCTAAGTTTGTTGAGAAACCCTGAAAAGCTTTAAATTCATGTGCTTTACAGAGACATAAAGGAATTTCACCACAATAAAGAAATTAGGTTCAAAGATGGGGATTTCCAAAGTGTGGGTGTCAAGTAATTGGACCTCTAATCCACAGATTGGCTTTCAGAGCAGGGACTGTGGAAGTGAGGAAGAAAGTCCCTGCCACCACATGGGCTGAAAGCTGCATGTTGTCCCCATGGATGTAATAAGCCAGTCATAGAATGAGCATTATGGGTTAGGCAAGGGACAGCTTTCTTGAATGAAGTGTGTTATATTTTGGGATGGGCTGCAAAGAAATATGAAGTTTTCTTATAAGATTTTTAAAATCAAGTTGTGCTTCGATATCTTCATTTCTCAAGTCAATGTGCTGAACTGGTGAGCTCTTAAGGCCCCTTAGCCCCAGGATTCTCCTCTGCTATGCCTATTTTTGTATTCTCACTCTCTATTTTGTGTTTTTGCATGTGTGTACCTGTGGCCTGCTATGTACAGTGGGAAGAAGTCAGTGGCTATGATGAAAACCTGAACACCATCCGCACCTACCAGGTGTGCAATGTCTTCGAGCCCAACCAGAACAATTGGCTGCTCACCACCTTCATCAACCGGCGGGGGGCCCATCGCATCTACACAGAGATGCGCTTCACTGTGAGAGACTGCAGCAGCCTCCCTAATGTCCCAGGATCCTGCAAGGAGACCTTCAACTTGTATTACTATGAGACTGACTCTGTCATTGCCACCAAGAAGTCGGCCTTCTGGTCTGAGGCCCCCTACCTCAAAGTAGACACCATTGCTGCAGATGAGAGCTTCTCCCAGGTGGACTTTGGGGGAAGGCTGATGAAGGTAAACACAGAAGTCAGGAGCTTTGGGCCTCTTACTCGGAATGGTTTTTACCTCGCTTTTCAGGATTATGGAGCCTGTATGTCTCTTCTTTCTGTCCGTGTCTTCTTCAAAAAGTGTCCCAGCATTGTGCAAAATTTTGCAGTGTTTCCAGAGACCATGACGGGGGCAGAGAGCACATCTCTGGTGATTGCTCGGGGCACATGCATCCCCAACGCAGAGGAAGTGGACGTGCCCATCAAACTCTACTGCAACGGGGATGGGGAATGGATGGTGCCCATTGGGCGATGCACCTGCAAGCCTGGCTATGAGCCTGAGAACAGCGTGGCATGCAAGGGTAAGCTCTGGAGCCTCTGCTTCCTGCCCACCTATGGCAGGGCCAGATCTGCAAAGTTTCTCCACTAATAATTCTGGGTCATACAGGAACAGAAAAGAGTCTAATGGCTTATTATTATAAAGCTCTGAGGACTCCTATTCCTAGTGCTAGGCCTGATGATTTTCCAATCATGTCTAACCAGATTGTCCATATTTATTATTCATGGTGAGAGGAAGAGATGGGGAGAATTTCAAACAGTGGAAAATAACTTAATAACCAGTGCATAATATTTAGTGTTGAAGTGTTAAATTTGTATATCTCTCTCCTCTCTCTCTGTCTCTCTCTCTCTCTGTCTCTCTCACACACACACACACACACACACACACACACACACACCCATATCCTGCATCCAGCCCTAAGCTCTGTGGCTGGAGACTTTGGAATTTGGGTTGCCATGGACAATTCACTCAAGGGTAATTGAGAAGTGACTGAATTTGGAAAATATTTTAGTTCATTTCAGTCCAGCTCCCACAGCACTCAACTTGGTACTGAACCCATGTAGCTCATTAACTCAAAGCCCTCTGGCTTGGCTGTCTTTCTCTAGGGGCTCATTGCCAGGCCCTGGAAGGAGATGAAACTATTGGAATGGGAGTGGGGCTGTATCATGTATTGTATTAACTTTTGCTTCTAAATGACACAGAGTGATGCAAACTTTGCAGTTTGAGAGTGTCAGGATACTATGTGCTCATATTAGCCATCACTAGCACTAACCCTAGAAAGCCCATATTCAACATGTGGCAATAAATGTGCTGAACTGGCTGCAGGCTCAGTCTGTTCTGGGAGTGAATAGAAGGATCTGGAGGCCCCACAGCTTATGCATTGTCTAAGTGCATGGAAGCTGAACGTGGGGGGAATCCAGGGTTGGGGAAGAGAAGACTGCTTTCCCTTATTAAATTTTGCTTGGAACCTTCAAAGGTCCTGATTCTTTTACAAGGAAGCCTTCCTATATGGACCTCAGAAATGACCACCTTAACCTTAATGAACCCCCAAGGTTGCCCTTAGTCCTTTGGGGCTTGGAGGCTGCATTAGCAACTTATTCTCTATTGTGAGCCTCCTGCCCGCTTCCCTCTCTGATGTCACCCCCACCCTGCCTGAGCACCAGACCAGCCTATGCCAGTTTACTTCCCCTCTTACCTTGCTTCCCAGACACCTGCGGGTGAAGTGCCAAGCACAGGCTTGTTAGTACCATCAGCTCTGCAGTCCTTTGGACTCAGCTAATTGCCTGGGCCAGAACACTCACACAGCCTTTCTGAGGCCTGCTGAGAGTAGGGAGCTGCACCTTTGTGTCTTTATTGGATTTCTTGGTCCTGGTACCCATGATGGATGGTGTGGAAACAGAGGAGAGAGAGTGCCAGATCCCAGATCCAGTGATGAATCAACGTTGACAGTTTTAAAACCATCCCAGCCTGGTCCCACAGTCCTCCTCTTTGTGCCATTGGTTGGGATGGGTCACTATCTTTGCCATTTGTCTGGATCTAAGTGGGGACCAAGGCACCAGGCTGAGTTATTAAAGGCACAGGTGCAGCAGCTATCTGGCATGCTCGCAGCAGTGCATGGTGGGTGATTTCTCTGGTTTTCAGAGGGCTGCCACACCACACTTGCTGGCTGGGGCACTCTCATTTTTCTCATTACATCCTGAGCAGAATGGCAGGAACCAGAGCTAGCATTATTGGTTCTGATTTAATTGGGTCTCTGGGAACAGGCTTTCATTTCTTTGGGCTAATTGGAACTTTTCTTTTTTAGAGGGTTCTGCTGTCCACATAGCTTGTCAGCTACCTCCTGTGGCTGTCCTGAGAGGGCCTGTGAGGACAAATATGTAAATCCAAATTGTTTCTTTCCATTTCTCCTTCCCAGTCTCAATCCCCTCCTGAGTTTTGTTGGACATTTCTAATCTCTGGCTATTGTGAACATGGCTTGACTTTACAAACTACTTATTGCAAACTCATTGGAGGGTAGAGGAAATGGGGAACCCATGGCACCATCACTTGGCCACTTCAGAGGCACAGGAAGCCACATTTCTGAGAGTGGAGAGTGGCATCATGGGTCTTGTGGCCCAGCATCCTGGCCAAGGTCAGTGCCCTGGAAGGGAAGAGAAGGGCCTCTTACCCTTGTCTCAAGAACTTTCAGTTGAATCCTCTGAAATCTTTGCCCTTAACTCTGCTGGTAACTGGACTCTGACGGCTGGCAAGGGGACCTTCAGTCAAAAATGGTGATCTTGGGAAGACTCTGCACTCTTTGGTGGGGGTTGGGAAGTACATGTGGAGGTACTTGTTACTGGTCTCCATGGTGTGTCTTCAGGGAAAGGCTTTCCACTCATTTTTGGTGCTCACGGAGTGCTGCCAGATGGACACGGTGGCCATTCACAATGGTTTTGGTGTAGCCCACTTAGCACAATCATCATGAGGGCAGAAGCAGGCAGAATGGTGGATAACAGAGAATTGCAATTGAGACACAGTGAGCCTTCAACAGCTAGTTCTCTCCCAACACAGCCCTGAGAATTGGTGTCCTCTGAGCCTGGCTGGGCCAAATGCTGATGGTTCTATGATTCATACAGCTGTGCTGATTTGATACATCTTTTCTGCGTATGTGAAACTGGGACTTTGTAGGGTGGCAGAAAGAATAATCCGTCTGCTTCTGGTTCCATGCTATTTTTCCTGGAAGAACAGACTTTCATTATGGCCAGGGAACCGTATTTTCTTGGCTTTCACTTTGCTTCTGCGAAACCGTCGCCTGTCAAAATCATGGTGACCAGTCGCTTGGCTGTGCAGAGGCACCTGGAGACCAATTAGACAGCACAGCCAGCAAAGAGTGGTCCTGGCCTAGGGCTGTTTCTGTTGTGAAGAGTGTGGGTGGTGAGAAGAGAACAGGTGAGAGGGGAGTAGAGGAAGCCATGGGGAGAACTTGTGCATTAGAATGTATGGCAAGCGGCTCATGCATTTTCCAGAGGGCTCCTTGGCCTAAGGCCTGTTCCTGACATCCTTTCTGTACACACAGGCTGGTCCCATCAGGCAGAGTCACATCGGCCTTTTGACCTCATCTCACTAGTGACTCTGACCTCATCATGCATTTGTCTTTATAAAATTGTTAATTACTAGGAAAATGGCCCATCTACCCCAATTTCAAGTTGTGCTCATAGTGTAGCGGATTAATGAGAAATCATAGCTTTGTCTTCACTTCTCCCCTCTTCCCTGCTGAGGTTGGTGGCTAAGTCTGTTCTCTGTGTAGGTCCCATGCAGCCTGGTCCTTCCTGTGCCAGGGAGGCCGAGCTGACTCTCAGCAGACCCCCTCTCTCTCTCTGTGCTGTGTAGCCTAAAATATTGCCTTAGCTGAAGTTGGACTGCAGGGAGGGTGGGGAGGAGACTGGGGCTGTTAGAAGGAACCTGGCAGGGGCAGGCTCCTTATCTATGTGCTAGAAGCTTGGGGCCTGCAGTATCCCATAAGGATGTCCATGGAGGTGTCTCAGAAATAAGGCAGAGAAGATATGACTGTTATATCTTATGTGACAGCCCCTGAGTGACCAGATCCTAGCTGGAGCACTGTGCCTGTGTGCCCACGGATCTGTTCTTCCCCTGAGTGCTGCCTGAGGGCTTGACTTTCCTTCCCAGGGCATAGTCCTTGGAGTTTCCAGAAGAAGCTGCTTCATTAGGCTGCCTCTTTAGCCACACTGGGGACTCAGAAAATGACAATGCTATGCATAATTCTCCCTGCCATCCTCTCTTGCCTCTGCCCCTGCCCCAGGTTGACCTTAGCTTGCTATTACAGAGGGCACACACCAACTTATGGTGCCTAGGCCTTCATTGTCTGGGGCTGTCATGCACAGGAGGTGCAGGTGAATGAAAGAGGAAGGGGGTATGCTTGGGTGGAAGAGACCTAACCTAGAGATAGGGGCTGGTTTTAGTCTTGGCTCTGCTGAGAACTTGCTGTGTGGTTTTAGGTAAGTCCCTTTCCATTGACAGTCATATCTTCTCTGCCTATTTCTCAGAGTGTGCGAAAACGGATATGAGAATATTTTCTAAGCCGTGCCATGCTACATATTGCTAGGTGTCATTGTGCTTAAGCTCTGAATCATCCTTATTAAGAAAATAAGATTCTGCGATGAAGATGGCATGGGACTCCCCCGTCCAGAGACACAGGTCAGCAGGAATCCTGAATTCCTAGTCATCACCTTCCTGCACCTGCCCAGGCCCAGCTCCATGACCGCCAAGCAGTGACAAGTGAAAACAGCAAAAAGGAATAAGCCACTGTTCCTCAACTGATCAAAGGGCCAGTTAACACATGTTTGAATGCTGTGGCTCACATGGCCTGCCGTGAGGCAGGTGGTCTAGGCAGGTGGTCTTTGTGAAATGAAGGACCAAGTGGAGAGAGAAGACTCTCCAAGCCCAGGAGAGCCATGGTCTTCAGAACCAGCAGTTTTTGACCCCAGGGCAGGCAAGAGAACCCTCAGAAAGGTTTTACAAAGTGGCATCCCCAGTTGCCTCTTTCTGAGATGGTGATAAGTCTTGTATATGGCCCAAACATGGGAATTTTAAAAAATCCAAGAACCCCAGCTCTAAGCAGCAGACAGGACCATCTATGTGGCTAGTGTCCAGAAGAAAGGGACCCCAGGGTAGGTCACTGAAGATATTCTTGGGTTTCTGGGATTTGTAGACAGGATGAACCTGGGTGCCTGAGGGGATGAAGAAGGAGTCTGGGAGAGAGGACTGCAGGAGCAGGCTGACAGCTGGGTAAACCAAGAGCAAGGCCTACAGGCCACCAGGAGGAAGGTATCCAGAGCATCACTACCCCTTGAGTAAAGGCTGGGGGCTGGGGAAAGCCATACAGGGCAGCCCTGAACAACCCAGAGTATCAACATGATGGCACAGATAATAAAGCCCAAAAGGGGCTCTTGGCAGGGAAAAGAGGGGCAGATGCTGAGGACTGACTGTCTGGGTGTTATAGAAACAAACTTCCCTGAAGCTAGC